TTTTTTTCCGACTGCTAGAAAAAGTGCAGTAGGTTTCATAAGTAACCCCACACAATAGCGTCTTTACTAACACAAAATATTCTATTTCTACCGCCTCATTCTCTACAGAGTTGGACAGAATAGCTGATAAACAATGAAGCCAGAATGGAGATGCTCATTTCATTTGACACAAATTTCATTGGTTATTATGGTGCTTTCTGGTATGTTATGGGATTTGGAAACATGCCTGATGGTGTAAGGGCAGTTCCAAGGCAAATCTCTCAATGATAACTAGCTTAAGGCAGAAATTATACATAAGATCAACCTTTTTTTGTAACAAAATATTATAAAAATTTATCCATTCCATAGCAAAGAGTTTAGCTTGTTGAATCAAAGACACTTTGATCAAATCATGGCTCTGCCCCTTATAGGTAAGACAATGTGGTAAAATTAACTAATTTTCCTATATCCTAGTTTTTTTTTTTAAAGATTTTATTTATTTATTTATTTTCCCCCAAAGCCCCAATAGATAGTTGTATGTCATAGCTGCACATCCTTCTAGTTGCTGTATGTGGGATGCAGCCTCAGCATGGCTGGAGAAGCGGTGGGTCGGTGCACGCCCGGGATCCGAACCCGGGCCGCCAGCAGCGGAGCACGCACACTTAACCACTAAGCCACGGGGCCGGCCTCCTATGTCCCAGTTTTTGTCTGTAAAATGAGTCATATTAATATCATACAAATAGCTTGTGATGATGCTTGGGAGAGAAAATGAATACACAGAGTAAATTCTCAATACATAATTATTTGTCGTGACTTGCCTCCAATTGGCACATAATCATAATTTCTGAGTTTGCCTGCATTTAAACATCCAACAAATATTTGTGGGGTGCCTACAATGTGTAATACCTAACATCAATTCATTAGGGAATGAAACATTCTTATAATGAGAATGGCTCCATCTCCTAACTCCCAGGGTAGAAATTGGACTATGGGACAAGTCTGAAGGCAAACGACCCAGATGTGAATCTCTCAGACACAAAACATTTATAATGCGGGAGTGATGTCTGCATCACAGCAGATATGATGGATGGTATTACGGCAGCAGCAGGTACCATGTGCAACATCGGAAGATGTGATGCAGTGTTGAGCAAAACATCATTACAAAACAATGCAAGACAATTTACGGCAAAAGAGGTTTTAATGAATTAATCCCTAGTTTTGTAGTATTCTAACTGAGAACTGGGCCCAGAGACCAAACATCATGCATTTGTGTAGTTTCTAAGCACCAGTAGAGGCACGTTGATGAAACACATAATAAACAAGTGGCAAAGTTTAACACAATTTCAAATTACAGAGATACATTCTGCTTTTGACAGTACTAATAAAAGTTCATTTGAGTATGAGTGTGGGGTTTCTAACTTGCACCAATGTAATTAAGGGTTCCCAATTATACACACAATAATATGCATGGATGATAAATAACTTTGAACTTGAAAAAACGTAAATTAGAACTTCACAAAAGTGAAGATAAACAAATGTGAAACAGTGATGGAGAAAGGTACAGGCAAAAAAGAGAATAAGCACCAAAAAGCATATAATAAGACAATAAGAGCTAACCTTTCACAATAGAATGTAATCAATGATATTAAGAAGGCATAAAACATAACTAAAGTGGCTGGTTTTCATAGAAATTTTACATATACTCAATAAGAATAGAGTATATTATTTCATAAATTGAATAGAATCTGATGTGTGTGTGTGTGTGTGTGTTTGTGGTGAAAAATACTGCATAAATGGAGGCATAAGGTAGAATATAAAGGAACATGGTAACTAGTGAGAGGGAGTTAGGTTATTTTTCTATGATCCTATATACAATGTCTGGATTTTAATTATCAGAAAAAACTCCTTCACCTTTCCACCACAAATCACAGATATTAATACCTATAACCATCCACTTGTTCTTTCCTCCTCTTAACAATTAAAGTGTTCTCATTCCAATTAAGGCAAATCTCTCTACTTGTACTTTTCACTTGTTTTCTATTGAATCATCAATCTTTCCTCAGCCTACAAACATGCCTTCCTAACTCTCACTTGAAAGATAAAGCAAATTAAAAAAACAAAAACAGAAAACATTGGTATGCTGGTAAACCTGTTCTCCAAAAGAAAAACAAAAACAAACAAACAAGTACAAAAACAACAAAATCCCTGATGTGTAGTGTTTGCCAGTCTCCATGGTGTAACTCCTCCCACCACAGATGATTTCAAGTTACCAATGGTTTAACAACCTGCTGGCATAATTCCTGACTATTTAACAATCTGCTCTTGTGAACCTATATGATCTGGCTCCAGTATACCACAGTAACTCTTAACAGGGTTACTCCCTTGTTTTTCCATCCTCTTCCATTTTCCTGTTCCCCTTCACAATAAAACTCTTCAAATGTTTCGGCTACACTCTTTGTACCTAATTTCCTACCTCCCCTTTTCATTCAACTCATATTTAATTAGCATCTAATATATGCCAAGCACTGTTCCAGATGCTGGGAATACAGTAGTGAACAAAGCAATGCTCCTGCCCTCTTGGAGTCTAGATTTTAGTTGAGACATAGACAATAAATAAAAACAAATCTTCGGCCTTTCAGATTTCAAGTGCCATAGAGAACAATGAAATGAGTAGGGAATAAGTGGGGTAAATATTTTAAAGAGGATGAGCTCAAAAGGCTTCTCTAGGTAATTCTGGATTGCAGAACTGGCTTCTGTCTCTTTGTTCCACTCATGGCTACAATGCTGCCAAGCTTAATGGATTTTTCTATCTCCATCTTAGTCTGTAGCTCCCACTCGCACTCTTTCATTCTCAAGCTGCTTTGTTTTTCTTGGATTCTTTGACACTATATTTTTCAGGTTTTATATCTATGCAGCAACACTTTCTCAGGCTCTCTTTCTGGTCCAACCTATTTAAATGATATGAAACTTTGGAAAAACTTGGAGGTTGGATCTGTGTCTTCTCTAGCTACATTCACTCTTCCCTAGGTGATGTCATCCCGTTTCTCTCCCTCTCTCCCTCCCTCCCTTCCTATCTCCTAAATATTGCCTATATGCTAATAATTCCCAAATACCTATATACTCCAGCTGAGACCTCTTCCCTCAGGAGATACCTCAAATTCGTTATATACAAAATAAGGTTCTCAGTTCCCTCCAAAACCATTTAGTTTCCCCATTAATCACCATCTCCAAATACGGCAACAACATTCATGTATTGTGTCAGGCTGTAAATTTAGGAATCGTCTTTGATTTTTCTTTTTTCTGCATTCCCTCATTTGATCCATTATCAAGCCCTGTCTGTCCACCTCTAAAAAGAATATATGCATCCACTTATCTTCATGTTCACTATTACGATTTCACCCACACCATGATCCTTGCCTTCTGGGATCATTACATTCACATCCTAACTGTTCTCACACCTTTCAATCCATTCTGTATGGATTTTTAAAACACAAATTAAATTGGAACACTCTCATACTTAAAACCCTTCAAAAGCTTCTCATTTGTTTAGAATAAATCCAAACGACTTCCACGCCCTACAAGTTACTACATAACCCAATTCTGCACACTTAGCTAATGGCAATCTAATGGCCTCTCTCTTTCTCGCCCACTATCTTTCAGATATATTGGCCTTGTTTCCATATCTGAAATAACAAGGCCCTTTTATATCTCTTGGTCTTGACACTTGCTGTTCTCCTTACCTGGAATATTTTCCCCATCTTTTTGCATTTTGATTCATTCTTATCCATTAGGTTTTAGCTCATATGGCACCTCCTCAAAGAAGTATTTGTTGATTAACCTATTTTAAGAAGCACACTCCCTTTCCCTTGACTTTATTTCACATTGACTTACTTCCTTTATGTCATTTGTCACCAACTATAATTATTACATTTATGTATTAATTCCTTTGTTATTATTTTTCTCCCTACAATAATACAAGCACTACAAGGGCAGGAACTTCCTCTAAATTGTTTGACCACTTACTGACAAATAGTAGGTACTCAATATTTGTTAAACTAGTAAATGGATAAATGAACAAATAATTATGGCTGCTGGGAATAAAGTTTCACTTCAGCAAAGTGAATATGGAATAAGGCTCATGTTGAAAATTGAGAACTGGTTGAAGAGAAAGAAAGTACTATAACAAACAGGAGCAGGCAGTATTTATTTCCCTCCAAAATTATGTTCAAGAGATTTGATTTGATATTTAATTACTTTTCATTGAGCATCAATTATGTACAAGGGATTTTATTATGTTTTCTCATTTACCCTTCAACATTCTCTTATGAGTTAAGAATATTGTACAAGGTCTTATAAATAGTAAATGATAGTTCAATTAAAGCAGAAAAAAAGAGGGACTCCTGGGTTGACACCCCAGTTCTCTCATTTTGTGACACTGAGCAAGCTTAAACAGACTGAGCTCCCTTTTGTATCACAAAAGTTTTTCTTAAATTATTGATCACATTCTCAAAAATGAGACTTGATTTGCATAACATCTCATACTCAAGGAAATAGATCAGATTATTTATTTTAAGTAGTAGGGAAAAAAGCATTCGTTTCTAAATTGGAGAGCATTAACAGGTTAATCAAGATGCTTATGAGTGATGACGACAAAGTTAGTGCATTTTTAATTCAGATTGAAAATACTCAAGCTAATACTCAAGGCACAGGAAAACTAATGTTTTATTCATTGTTCTAAGCTTTGGCATAGACTCTACAAAATAGCACAGTGCTTTGCATAGAATAGATGTTCAAAAATTATTGACTGATATCTACAGAAAAATTTGTTCAAGTACTCTCTGACCCAAGATAGGAAAAGATAACTCCTTAGAACTTAGATCAAGTTGATTTCTCAGAAATTTTGTACTACGTGCCTGAATACATGGTGGGCTGGAAGATTCCAGCAAATGAAAGCCTTGCCATCTCACTAACTCTGACCCAGTGCTGGGTAAGATCCTGTTGAATAATTGCAATCGCAAAAGCAGTTCCTTAAACTGAGATATGAGAATGAGAAAGGGATTTAGTTAAGAAACAAAGAAAAATTAGGCACGATATACACACCTTTATAAACAATATGGTCACTTACCTAACTACTGTGTGTGTGTGTGTGTGTGTGTGTGTGTGTGTGTGTGTGAGAGAGAGAGAGAGAGAGAGAGAGAGAGAGACATATATATACGTCTTATTCGAAAAGCAATCCCTTTTGACTAGAGATTAGTAACATCAAAGAATGGGTAGAAAGAAGGAAAGGCTTTATGTAGCTTCTCAGTTCTATTTTAATTGTTAGATGTTCATTTTACCCATTTGCAATTTTAAAATTTCTTCTCTCTCTTTTCCAGTGGCTGGACAAGGGTTAAAACTGATATGCTAAATACTACATAGCTAAGTTTCGTTTTTAAAAAAAATTTCAGATGCAATTTTTTTCCACATTAGTACATATTTATTTTCTAATGAGGTAACATTGGTTTATAACATTATATGAATTTCAGGTGTGCATCATTATATTTTGACTTCTGTGTAGACTATATCATGTTTACCACCAAAGAATAACTACCATCCATCGCTGTACACATGTGCCCTATTACTCCCCACATAGCTAAGTTTCTTGACACAGCTTCCGGTTTTTCTTGATTCTGAAATGTCAGCTTCTCCCAAATCTCTCTCCTTCAGGTTGAATTCTACTAACATAGGCCTGGCTCTCCTGATGACCATAAGCCTCAGGGCTTGGTATAACTAGCTCAGTTACTACTCCTGCAAAGCCTGTCTCACTACCCACAACTTCAGACCCTATTCAGGCTCTGGTCTTAGATTGACCAAATGGGCATCATTTCCACTCTCATCATGATGGGGAGCCTGCCCCTTGAAAAGAAACTTCTCCCTCAGAGGAAACAGGTTAGATTGATGTTCTTGGCTCCAAGAGTCAATCTTTTAGCTCTCCCTGATTTTTTTCTTTTATTAGTTTGGATTTAATCACTCACTTTTAAACATTTTTATTACAAAAGCAATACATGCATAGTATAGTGGAACATTAAAATAGTGCAGAAGTATATAAAATGAACAACGAAAGTACCCCACCTCTCTACAACACTCCAGTCCCATTATCTAGAGATAATACTTCTCAGTAGAAGCTATGCTGTCTATTCATCCATTCATCTATCCATCCATCCATCTTTCCATTTAGCCATCCATTTACCTTTTCATCTGACTGTATACCTAATGAGAACTTAACCACTAGGCCACGGGGCCAGCCCCTGTTTTGTTACTTTTTAATGGTGTCTTTCACCATAGAAAATATTTTACTTTTCGTGTTGTTAAATCTGTCAATTTTATTTTATAGCTTCTGAGTTTTATGTCACCTTAATATCATTAAAACATTCTTCTATATTTTAATATATATGTTTAAAGTTTTACCTATTCACATTAAATCATTATTATTTTATACTGAAAATTATTTTAGTAATTGTTGTGGAACTGGGTTTATCATTAGATTTTTCTTTCCAAACAATGTCAAAGATTTTAATTTAATTTACTGGCTAACCTACCCTTTCTCTACAGATATCAAATGTCATCCTTAAATATTAAATTTACCTAAACAAAAAGAATTTTGTCAAAATATCTATTCTATATCATTAAACTATTTCTCTATATCATGCCACAGTGTGTCAGTATGTTATGAAATCTACTAAAGCAAATCACCTATTTAAAAATAACTTCTTGACTATTATCATACATTTACATTTAGACTAATTTTAGAATTATCTTGACAACCGCACCCTTCCCTTTTGTGTGATTTATTTTTAGCATGTTCACCCCCACACATTTCTGCCCTTTCTTCTCTGCTTGTTCCCTAGGTGGCTGACCCTTTCACACTGCATCTCCTGGGATCATTTGCTGGCTGGATTCCAGTTGCATTGAGCCAATGGAAAGGACCAGCTGGAGATTCAAAGATAGGCAAAGACAAGGCTGGGGAAATTTTTCCTCCACAATTTCTTTGCTTCAGAGCTGCGTTCTTCTAGTAGCTGATTCCTTCCAACAACTACACTTCCCAATTTGTGGTTCTTCCTCCAGTAGTGTAGCTCTCACTGGGCTCCATTAACCTCCATTCATTCTGTTTTTCCCCTTTCCCCCTAAGCCCTGGGGATAGTAACTGCTTCCTACTGTTGCTCTTCTCTGGGTGACTCACTGTCACCTCTTTGTTAATATATTAAACTTCTAATCTTTTTATAAAATTCTCTTCGTTTCAACTATCTGAGGTGAATTCTATTTCATGCTAGGGTTCTGTTATACCTTCTAAAATAATACATGGATAGGAAGATAGATAGAGAGAGACTTATATACATACACGTGGATGTATATAATTTTATTGAAATTATTTTTGAATAATTTTATTGAATTTATATATATTTCATATATAAATATACATTATAAATATTATATCTCATATTAAACATATAGCAGTTGTGTATATTATATTCAGCATACATATATATTACATAGAGTATGATTTATAACTTTATTGAAATTATTTTGAGTATACAGATTAACTTAGAGAAAACTAGCATTTTCATCATAGCATCATAGCATCATAGCAAACTAGCATTTCATCATCGTCTCCTCTTTTCCTCATATCTTCATTTAGGTACTTATAATTCAGGTACTTATTATTATTATATCAGGTAATTATTATATAATTACCTGATAATTCAGGTAATTATACTTTTAATTTTACTTTTAATTTTTTACTTTTTTTACTTTTAATTTACTTTTACTTTTAATTTTAATATACAATTACTTATAATTCAGGTACTTATTATTATTATATCAGGTAATTATTATATAATTAGGTACTTATAATTTAGGTACTTATAATTCAAATTTAAACTTTCTCCAAACAATCTTTACACTTTCCTGCGTAACTCACTTCTAAGAAATCTAGAAATTTTGTAGCTATTCTAAATAGGATTATATTATTTCTTTACACTTTCTAATTGTTAACACACTTTTAAATAAGGAGAAAATCATATTGTATTCAAATGATGATACTTTCTTTCATCTTTTCCAATATATATATACATCATATTTCTTTTTTTCTTGTCATATAACATTTGCTAGGTTCCCCAGAACAATAATGAACAATAACACCAATGAGGAGTATCCTTGAATTGTTTATTATTTTAACAAGAATTTATCTAGTATATCAAGATATGGAAGTTTCCTTCTATTCTTGGATTAGTAAGAACTTTTCTCAGGACTTGGTAATGAATTCTAACAAATGCCACTGGATATATTATTTCTTTTTTTACTCGGAGTATTGAATAGCTATGGTTTCCTGATCTCCTTTAAGAAAAAGAAGAATAAAGATTAAATGTTACTTGTTTACTGTTTTGTATTTTGTTTTGAATTTCATTATTAATATAAATGTTATTCCACATAAACGTATCAAGTGAAAGCTCTAAATTTCAAAGAATAGCAAAGAATTTCTCTAGCTAAAAATGTTTGTATTCTAATTTAGACTCAAGTGTAAATAGTTAATATCTCACCATGTTTAAAGTGCTTCATTTACACAAAATTAATCTTTAACTGATACATTTTTAGATGGGGGTGATGGCTATATCCCTGATAGAATAATAGCTTGATTCATTTACCTACATAAATAGTTACTCTATTGGAGAAGATAGGAGAGAAGCTGATTCATAATCCCTACCTGTACCTGGACAAAGCAGGAAATAAAGTGTATCCTCATGCTTCCTCTGTCATGATTATCATAGCAATGATTCTGAAATTATATCCACACTCATTATCTCTGTTTACATCCACATATTCTTATGAATTGAAAATAATGAAACTAAAATAGGTTGGGGCATGTACGTGCAAAGAAATAGCTTGAAATAGAAAATGTTGCAAAGATTCAGATAATCGTGATAGAGCTAAGTTTCTAGAGGTTTACATGAACCAAATGCAAATTAGCCATAAGCTTTGAGATTCTTTTTCAATTTCTCATTATAAATTTGTTACTCTGTGTGAGTGAGTGTTGTGTGATTAAGAATGAAGTAGATGAAATTTTCAGTAAAGAGTACATGTGTTGCCAAGAAATCGGAGTCAAGTAATTCTATAACTCTGGGTCTTTGTACTAAATGAATTAAGAGAAAAAAGAAACCTGAGTGTTGCAAAGTTTAAATTAATTATGGTAATATGCATTTGCCTCCAAATATTTAAGTAGAATAATGGAAACACAAAATTTTATTTTGGCAGAAATTAATCTTTCGGATTTCGTACAGATGCACGTTATGCTTTGAACATATTACGTGTGGACTTACTTTTGTGCCTTTATTTAAGCTATTTTCACTGCCAGGAATTCCTGGTCCTATTTCTTTTCATTTATTTAACTAAATAAATGTTATCAATCCATCAATGTTCAGGTGTTGTGCAATTATTTCCCTGAACGCCACAAGAGCTCAGTACATAATGATGTCTTCCAACCTCCAAACTTTTACTGCCAGGTCAATTCTATCATATACTACCTCGAAATTTGAGTTTACACACACACACACACACACACACACACACACACAAACATACACTCACACAAATGCATACACACAAAGCGGAGGTACTAAAACATTATTTTTGAAGGACTTGAGATTCTTTTAAAAATATTTTAGAAAATAGTTAATTACATTGTGATTTTCAAATCAATTTTTTTCTTAAAGGTAATCCATTCAGAATGGATTGGAACCTACTGAATGCCAGGCTCTGGTGCTGGTTGCTGAAGATAAATACTGGACAAGAGAAACACAGTCCCTGACCTCATAGTGCTTAGAGTGCACATGACATAAATTAATTCTAATGTGTGAGGTCATATAGTGTAGGTTTTTCTAAATTTTTATATACTTAAATGTTGTTAATATTAAAGAGTGGTAAATTAAATATATTAAGTAAATAAAATACCTATGTACGATCATTTATAAGGAAAGTATTGAAATGAGAACATAAAGACATTAGCATTACTTTGACTTTTTATGTCTGAACAAGCAACTCAATAGTTGTCACACTTATTTTATGATTCAAATCAAACCTTACAGAAGAGCGTTTGTCTACCAAGTTCCGTTATTGTTACTACTTTTTCTGTTTTCTTTTTTTAGGGTTGGAGGGACAACAATACGAACTTTTAGAAGACAACGTATTTTCAATGTCTAATACCAAGCCTGGCTCAATTCACACTCATTAAATACTTGTAAAACATTTTTTTAAAAAAAGGTCACAGGCAGCCATCAAACCCTTAGCTCTTCTGTCAGATAATTTGAGTTACTTATAGTCTCTTTTTCTGATATTTGTTTCTTGGCCCACATCTAAATCAGCAGTTTCATCTATGTGGGAATGTCATTCAATTCGCATAGTTAGTCCTCATATGGATTTTTTGTGTCTTTCTACAAACTAATTTATTGGTCCTAAATTTACTGTCTCAAAACATGGATGCTGAATACGCAAACAGAGAAAATGGCTTTTACAATTGTCAACACTAGTGTATAAAAATGGTATAAATTTTTTTAAAAACTGGTTACACATATCTGGGTCAGATTTACTTTAGATACAAATTAAAAGGATTAGCACATATTGCTATATTTGAAATGAAAAGAATTAGATTCAACATTTGACAAGTCAAATTTAATGCACAGTTTAAAATGATGCAAAATTTTACTTCTTGAGGAAGCCCCCTAGAAAAATTGATCAAATTAAAAACTATAAATATACAATTAAGTATTGTGCATTTTAAAATAATAATAATATACTGAAAATTAAACCAGAATTTTTTTTTCTGCAGAAACTAAATGAGGTTATTACAGTGGGTGAAGTGAACCTAATTTACAAGGCCATTAGAGCTGAAATGCTTCAAATACATCTCTGTTCAGTTCTTATCCTTTTCATAAAGTTGATTTATGAAGAAATATGCAAGTCCACTAAAGTATGCTTTTTTATACGATTATTTCACACAAAATGGTTATTGACCATATGTATTTTGTCTAGGCTTTTACACAGGGGAGTTGTTAACATAATTCATTTACAATTCAGTTAGCAAGAAAACATGTTAAATTGAATTTTACTCTGAAACAATAAATCAAACCAATGTGAAAGATATTACATCCCATACAATGAACAAACACTGATCAAATTATACAGCTGAACTATGTATCTCACATATCCCAAGACATTTAAAATATCACCCCCATACAGTCATTAAATAAGTCTCAAGATCCAAAGGGTTTATATAAGCACAAATTAATAACTTTGGGTCATATTATCAGCTTATTCTGGAGGTTTATGCTGGTGAATTAAAAATAGTAACCTCTTCTTATAGCCTACATCAATAATCATTCAAGTATTTTTCTAATCATAAAAGCATAAGTTTTGCAATGTCATTTAGACAAAAATACATTTTTATCTTATGTTGATTATCAGCATGATCTCTAGCAACTTCAAGTAGTTGGAAAAAAGAGAGCTATCAAAATCAGAATCCTGTTCTTAGGATCAGAAAGCTCTAGTAAACATCAAATAAACTGTATCATAGTCCATAGATAACACAGCATGAAGTATAATGTCTTAGACAGAGATGGTGCGTATTGAATAGTTGTTGTTTTATTGCATCTATGCAACATGATAAATCAAATAAAGAATAAAATCTTAATCCTTGGTTTACACTGTAAACTTTCTCCTTATCCATTTCTGCAATGGTAGTTAACAGGAAAGTTTCCTCTATTCCTGATGAGGTCTTCCATATGCAAGCTTGTTCTGGGAACTCCAATACACTGGATTAGATAGTATGGCCTGAAAGGGGGGTCCCACTGTTGAGTGCTCTATCTATCTATCTATCTATCTATCAATTAATCAATCACATTCATTTATGATCTCATTACATCTATAATATTTCAGACTAGGAGTGCATATATATATATATATATGTATATGTATGTTTATATGTGTGCTACAATTCTAAAAAACGCTATGACATATTTAATGACAAAGTTTTCTCCTAGAATATGTGCAATTCCTATAAGAGATATCTCTTATTCTAAACTAATATTTTCAAGATACCCTCGTGTATTTTTTGCCCCATATATATAATACAGATCTATTACAACTAAAGAATCTATGCAATCTGACATTTTTATGGAATGAATGACACTGCTAGAAACTATCTATGACATTGTGGGGTTATCAAATCAACCAATGAACAAAAGTCATTTTCTTTTTTGATCAGATCATTAGTTTGATAGATAAGAAAATGTCATATTCACAGTGTAGCTTGTCAGTGTCTCCCATAATAAGTTCACATACTATGTTCACATAACAAGTTCATATAATACAGTATTGAATCTGTACTAGAAGATAGTATTTTAAAAACACACAGGTTACACAACACCATATACAAAAAGTGATGAAAAATAGACTTGTGTCAACGTCAAGTGATAGCTAGTTGATGGTCACATGACTCTCATGTGGACTGTTTCTACCAAATATATCTTGCCAATGACTTGGAGGTTAAGGCATAAAAATAGAGCTATTATAAAAAAAGATGTTACTGTGCTAGAAAAAATAGCTCTTACTGTATATAATAAAATCTTACTATGAATATCTTAATTGAAGTAATACTGAAACCAATAAGGTAAATTTAATAGACATCAACTTAAAGTTTGGAATTAATATTGGAAAGAACTGCTATAAGGACTGCATAGATTCAGAAAATATTTGACTTGGAATCAGCAATTTGAATTCTACTCCTAGCCTTAAATCTTACTAGATGTAGGAGGTATGATTACTATAATGGTAAAGGGTACCAAAAGCAAGCCATGTGAGTAAAGGTTTTAGATATTCATCTTGGAGATGGTGGAGACATAATGACATCTTCCAATAGTGGAAGGCAATCAGGGTTCCTCTAAATATAAGTGAAATCAATATGTGAATGTTACAAAGATACGGATTCTTGTTCAATGTAAGAAAGAATTTTTAGGTAATATCATTTTTAATAATTAGACTTAACTAGTGAAAGATAGGATCTGCTTCTGTAACACTTCAGATTGGCAGAGGGATTCAGTAAGACAATGCCTTCATATCTGTCATCTACACCAGAGGTGTTCTGCCCTGCTTTATAAGCTGGCTTAGACCATGCATTATCTCTTATTTTCAAATACATTTCATTTACTCTTCTTTAAAAAATCTTTGAAGTAGATGGGATAAGAACTATATAGAGATGAATTCAGTGAGACTTACAGAATAAAAATGGCTTACCAAGACCATTGAGCTTGTAAGTAGCAGGGCAGAACTAATTCCAAGTCTAAATTCTGATTAATGTTCAAGCAATTAACAAGACCTTAGCAAATTCATTTCTTAGAGTCCTGTTTACACCTCTATAATCACTTTAATTATTTTTTTCTTTTTATGTCAGTCTTCTGCCTGCATTGTCATGATTGGTTCCTGTCAGTGAGTTGTAAAATACTTGACTTTCCCATTTTGCATTTTTTCAAATCAATATTTCCACAGGACA